CGTCCCTAACGTAACTACCGGCATCTGGGCTACCCAGAAATATGCCGACAATACCTTGGTTATTATGTCCAATAAAAATAGTATAAAATTGCTGCAATAGGCCAATTCTTTTCTTAACCAAATTTTAGATTGGAGCAACTTTAATAAACTATCCATTAACCTAAATAAGACCACCTGCATGCTAATGTTGAGAGGACTCAAGAAACCACACTCGATCAAAATAGGAGGTACTAGGATAAGATACAGTGACAGTATGAAATACTTGGGTATTACTATCGACCAGGGCTGAATTGGAATATTCACATAAAAACGCTTGTGACAAGGCCATAAAACTTTCGAACCTTCTCTGCTTTCTCGCAAGAAAAAACTGGGACCTCAACAAAAACTTAACAAATATCTACCGCCTGGCCATAGAGCTGGCCATTTTTTATGGTGTGCCCTTTAGGGGGACACAGTAAATAAAGTTTACGAAAAGCGTAAGCTTCTAAAGGCTGAGCGTGTCAGCCCCCTAAAGATCACCAAAACCTACAGGACTGCCCCCACATCTGCCCTATAGATGATCACTGGCATCCCTCAAATACATCTAAGTGTAAAGACCAACGCAGCTAGCTGGTTTCTCACCAAATTTCAGTCTTTCAGATTATATGAAGACTGAGCTAATAAGTTATCTAAATATTGGCATTTTTCGCAGCCTGGGGATATGCAACAAACTTTCATGCTTAACCACAAGAACACCCAAGTTACTCTTCACAGGCATTGCAGGCATCCTGCTTTATCTCCTACCGTTAATTTTCTCACTGATCCAAGTGTTTCCAACATCAACAACGCAAACACCATCTTCACAGATGGGTCAAAATCTGTTTCTGGTACAGGCGCTGCCACCGTGCACAGAAATAACAACTGTACATACCCAGTCCACAAAAAGGGCTTTAAACTTGCGGATTACTGCTCTATTATGCAAGCAAAACAGTACGCCATCTACAAAGCATTGGTCTACATCAACAATTTCANTTTATATATATTATTTTTTATAATTTAAATTAATAATAATTGGTTGAAATTTGTTTATAGTTTAGCAACTTCACGCCCTTATTATTCAAATCTTCTTTCAGATGGGTTTGACCCTCAATGGGGTCGAGCTTGAATTACTGTAAATTTTTTTAAAAAATTAATTTCAGGGTAAGCCATTTTTTATGTCTTGTGGGTCTAATCGGGCCTAGGTGGGTGGTGAGGATTGGGTTTTCGTGTCTGAATCTTCAGTGTACTTAAAAGTTGTTTTTCGGTAAGTCGACCTTTGTAATAGGGAAGACGACGAAATTCTAATTCAATTTGAAATTCAGTATATCAATATCAAAATAATGGACAATTTGTTACACCGTAGGCGAGTCGGAAATGTCCCAAGGATTAAAATTTCTGTCGATTGCATGTTTGGGATGATCCTAGCACTGCCGCCACCAGGCGAGAAAAGCACGCGTTGATGGAGAAAATGGCTGCCTTACCAATCTCAATTTGATATGATCCTCGTGAGTCGTCAATTCGAAGATGATAACGATTTCGCGAAACTGGATGCATCTGTCATTGGGGAAAGGGAGACCAAGTGTTATCGAAAAAACAATTGACAGTGTGTGTGTGTGACGTGAAATTCTGCTGAAAACCAGTCGAAAATTGAAGATCCAGAGCACCCAGTGAGGAAGATTCTACAAAAAGAATCTGCAGTTGTATCCTTGCAAATTGCAACTGTTGTTACAAACTCGAGCACTTTGCGACCATGAAGGAAATGGACGGGGATTGTCCGCTACTTTTCATTTATCCGTAAAGGTCAGTAAGCGCATTCAGATATGGGGGTCGCAAAATCTCCACCCGTAATCGAGATGGAAGATGACAGTCCAAGGTGAGCGTGTTTTGTGCTGTTCTCAGATGTGCTTGGCCCACTTTTTGTGGAGGACAGTGTCACGGGAAAGGTGTTCTCGGACATGCTAAAAAACTGGGTGCAGGATACCCAGAAAATCACGTGGCCAGGCGTAAACTTATTACCAACGACCACTTAGCCACTGTTGGGCAGTGTTCCCACAGATATCCCGTGTCCTTAGAACTACGGCCCAATATGGCGACTCCATAAGGAACGTTGGTGTCCTGACCTTGTATTTATAGATTTTGAGAAAATAGAATGTAAATAAAAAATTAATTGATTTTATAGAAATGCAATCGGTATGTTGGTGTGTGATGTAGGACATTCCTCTAAGTTAGAAGTATTTGAACGTAACTACCGAGTTCTGTAACAATTGATCGAATAGGAGTGCATAGCGAACAAACAAACATTTTCATATTTATATATACAGTGTATAAATTTGAGTACTATATTTTATAGAAGTTTTAAAACAGTACAGAATATGAGTTTAGGCATGACGCTAACATTTCCCAGAACTAGATGGACACTCCATCTAGAAAGACCATTATACTACTTAAACTACCTTAAAACTTATAACTTAAATCAAGGAAAAGAACAGAGCTGAGCACCAAAACACTGCAAAGCAGTATAACCTAAAAATACGAAAATGGGGTTGCCCAGAAACACAAAACTAACAAGGGGAACAAAGCACCTAATAAGGGAATGAATTACAAAGAGAAAACTAACTACACAAACAGAAATTAGGAAAAAGACAAAATACTAATTAACACCGAAAAAGTTATGAAAACGGCTAGACAGTTGAACTGTATCCTAGTAAAACCTAACTATGAACTTACAACCGAAAAGGCTGAAGAACAACTCAGAAAAACCTGAAAACCAAAAATACTGCAATGCAGAAAAACTGGAAAACCAGTTGACTGAGAGAAACCAAAATTATAGTTAAAACTAAACACCTGAAGACCTAATTAACTACAAAATGAGAACTACCGTATATTCCGGCGAATAAGACGACCCTCGACTTTTGAGATGATTTTCCTTGGTTAAAAAATACGTCTTATACGCCGGAATATACTGTATATAACTTAGTCTTGTCTTAGTTTAGGTCTAACCGGAAAAACATCCTAAAAACTGAAAATTTACAAAATAAACCAGCAAAAAGCAAGAAGATAATCGAATGGAAATTGAAAAGGAGTAAAATTAAATTGATTAAATCAAAGAAACTAACTGTTTCTGCCTGGGAACTCCAAAACAGAAACTAATTTACTTAAGCGTATTGATTAATAACATGTGAAAATGGAAAATCTAGCCTATTGAGAACGAAAAAGTGACTTAAAATCTAAGCAATAACACAAATACTAACTAAAGTGACAAAAAAAAAGCAGTAAAAACACTTAATAGAACCAAAGAAACACAAAAGTAGACCTCAGCAAAAAGCAGGCAGAAGAACCCACCAACACCGAAGTACAGAAGGAAAGAAATAATTTACTAAGACATTTCTATGGAGATTACTTGGTGGAAGTGAATGCTGAACACTTGATAAGAAGGAGACGATCTGCAGAAGATTGATATGAATAGGAATAAATAATAGAAAATGAACCGAACAAATGAAACAATTAGGAGGAAAGTACCAGAGCAAAGTTATTACGGGATACGAAAATTATATTTATACGTCATGTTATTACGCACAATAATTTCGTAGAAACTATCCTCGAAGACAAAATTCTAGGAAAGCAAGGAAGAGCGAGAAAAAGGTAAAATTATCTGAAAAGTTGTCAATGCTTCTGTGGGGTTCCGAAATTATTTATGGAGTTTGACACATTTTTCTCTTCTTTATTAATGCCGTCAGATGGAGGGAATATGAAGGACAAAGACAATCTTGAGAAAGATTCAAATCGTTTGTGTGAAAATCTTTCAGGGATGAAGAATTCCACATACTTGGAAATAAATTAAATAAAACTGTAGTTTAAAGAAAGCACTCCTTTCAACAACAACATTAGATTTATTAATAGATAAAGTGAGAAAGTGTAATTTTAAAGTGAAGTCCGCCATACTCTGCTACTTGCTAATTATAAAAGTTGTAGCAAATTCGAAGAAAATGATTTCATTCGAATTTAAATATTTTAAACGGTACCTTTAATAGAAATATTAACAGAGATTTTAATACAAAAAAGTGACATTAAACTTCTAACGTCATCTACTAGACAAAGCGTGTATTACAATCGGCCTGAAACATTATGACGAAATGGAAAATTGACAAATCACCGTAATTTAAAAAAAAAATACACAATAAGAAACAAGGTTGCATGCTAATAACTTTATTTTCTTAAATGCCCCAATCTTATATCGTTTAATTTTATAATAATGAGGAAATCGATTTAAATTTAGATTAGGTATTTAATATTTTGTATTAATTAATTACCATTTGTTGATTATATTTGCTCTTATTATGCCATAAAGCAGAATGCGTTTCTGCATTCTCCTCAAGCATTTAGACTACTCAAAGTAAAGTTATAACTTCGTTAAGATCACCTAATGACTTTACAATATCGTTTAATAAATTTTCACATGTGTAATTGTCATCTTTAATCAAATTCGTAAGATATGTACCGGTGTTACTCAGAAGTACCTTAATACGTTGGTCAATGTATCTGAAGCAATCGAAGTTAGATACCTCTTTCACCACACAACCCAAATAATTCGTAACATTATTGAGAAGCGAGCAGAGCTCATTCATCTGTGATATTTGAGATTGCAATTCTTTAGAATTAGAATCACACGAATCGCATCCGTCTTCGCGACGAAGTTTGTCACCTACGGCGTTATCTACAATACTTACAACATTACTAAGGTCGATACCAAGAACTGTAAGATCTTTAAAGCATTTGTATGAATTAATTTGAANTACTAATGTTAAACTGCTTTCAAGGTTTTATATCAAATTATGTCTTATGGCAAAATTGTCATTAGCAATTAAATTTAAATAATAAATGAAGTAAACTTATTTTCTTATAAATGTATGCCCAGTTTTAATAGAAAATTTATACTGTCTTCTTTTGTTACAAAAGAAAATAATAAAAATAAATTTTTACAGCATGATTATCCTCTTGAATGTCGACCAGGTGGTAGTGAAGGAAACTTCATTATGTATGCCAGTGCTACGTCAGGAGACAGATTAAACAATAATAAATTTTCCCCTTGCAGTATTAGAAATATTAGTACGGTGCTTCGTGCAGTTTTCAATGGCGAAGGCAAAGAAAATTGCTTTCAAAGTAAGTGTGATAAATTGTATTTTATGAAAGATGGACTTTTTTTAATTTTTGTTTTATGTAATAAATATGTATAAGTTCTTAAAGTATAGAACTTCAGCTGAATAAGTCATCACAAAAGTTTTAATATTTAGAATGACTTATTTAGCTTAATTTTATATTATAACACCTTTATATTTTTGTAAAATGTGTGTTTGATATACAGTAGAGCATCAATTTTCTGTATATTGATCAACCAAAACGTCAATTAACCAAAAGTTTTCTAGTCAGCAAATTTAAATTTTCACTAGTGCTGTGGCTCTGCAGTCTTTGGCTATGTCTTTGGACTACTCCAATATTATTTTTGTTGGTGTGCGTCTTTTAGCTGGCAGCACTGTCATGATTATGAGAAGATACTTACGGATGTGTCAGGATTTGAATGAATTTCAATATGGGATAGGTCAGGGGTCGGCAGTTTGTCTAGTGAGAACTAAATTGTCATGGAAACAGGATAACAAAAGTACCAGAGAGCCACATATATGTAATACACATATGTATAGGATATGGAATTTTAGGGGGAAAAACATAACGGTATAACATTACACGGATGGACGGACACACATTCAATGGGTTATATATATAGATATGCTTCAAATGCTATCACTCGCATGCGACTCATATTGATCAACACGAGTGTGGTCATGTATGTATGGGCTAAAGAGTGGTAGAGAGTATGCCGTACGAGTCAAAGTTTGTTCAGCGGCTCTATCTCATAAACTCATAAGTTATAAGGCTGCTCGAGATGAGGTGAAATTGGAGTTTGTCTGAAGAGCTGCAAACGTCTATGCAAAGAGCTGCATGCAGCTCATGAGCCGCTCCTTCTGACCCTGGGATAGGTTAATTTTTTTGTACATAATTGGTTATCTGTAAAATTAATTTTCCAAACAACCCCAGTCCCCAATTGATTTGGATAATCGATGCTCTACCGTAATTATCAATTATAAAATAATTTTTTAAATTTCGTTTGTTATTCAAAACTACTTGTAATTTTTAACAATTTTAGAGGGAGATGGTGCTTTTTGTGGTAACAAAATTGTGGAAGCTCCCGAAGAAACATGTGATTGCGGATATGACGGAAAGGAGTGCAGTGATAAATGTTGTTATCCTCGTGATGTTAAACCTTATAAATTGGCAAATCCAAATGCTGAAAGATGTACCTTAAGGCCTGGTGCTCACTGCAGGTAAGGCTGTATTTTAAATTATTTTGAAATTGATATATTAAAAAATTGAGTTATTAATATTTACTTTTATTTGAAGTCCTAGTCAAGGCCCCTGTTGTTTGCCATCTTGTAATTTTGTTAAATTTGGAGATATGTGTAGAGCTGAAGCGGAATGTACTCTCAGTTCCTTCTGCAAATATCCTTTGAATGTATTGGAAAATATATTTTATAGATGTTTTTTTTGTCCTTAAAATATTGCAGTTTCTTTTTCTATTGAATAAGTAATCTTTTTATGAAATGGTTTAAAATGTTCATTTAAAGATTTGTAATTTTTAAAGAAATTACTTTAAAAAATGCACACTTTAACTAATTTCATGTTCTCACATTATTTTTTTAATGTAATGCATTGAGAGAAAGGGTGTTGTAAAATGGATTTCCACCAGAGCTTTTCTCAGTAAAGTTTATTATTATCACCTTAGTTTTTAAAAGAAGATACTTAATTAAATTTTTTTTTAATACTAAAATCTTTATTATTAGTTTTGAAAAATTAAGTTTTTGCAAAATTCTTAAGAAATCTTATTAGAAGAAAATTATTTCAATTCTGCATTTTATTTTAATTATAAACTACAGAAGAAAAGAAGTAAAATTCTTTTTAATTTTATATAATTATTTTTATGTACTACCTTAAATGAATAGTTTATCAATTTAGGAAAATTTATTTTCCTTAACATTATTTACTGGAAGAAGTGCAATCTGCCCAATGTCTGAACCAAAACCAAATAAAACCGAATGTAATAAAGGAACCCAAGTGTGTTGGAATGGTGAATGTACAGGATCAATTTGTCAGAAATATGACATGGAAGAATGTTTTCTCACAAGTGCAAATGGTGCAAAGCCAGAAGAAATGTGTGAAGTGGCTTGTCAAAGTAAAGGTAATGTTGACTATTAAATTGCTCAAATATATTTCATTTCAAGAATCTGAAATCAATAATGACTATTTTTGACTCTTTGCTATTTGATAGATATTAATATTGAACTGATTTTAAAATTTCTAAGTCAGTAATAATATTAGTAGTAATCTTATATTTTTATAAATTGAAAGGTCAACCATCTACATGCAGAAGTACCAATAAGATTCCTTCTATGAAAAATATTAGTGGACTGAAGCTTCAGCCAGGGTCACCCTGCAATGATTATCAAGGATATTGCGATGTATTTCAAAAATGCAGAGCTGTAGATGCAGAAGGCCCGTTGGCGCGGCTGAAAAACTTGCTTTTAAATCAGCAAACATTAAAGAATATAAAAGAGTGGATAACGGTAAAATATGAGTAGATATTTATTAATCAAATTTTAAAGATTATGTCAAAAATATTTAAGTATATTTCTTGTACTAGACGTATTGGTGGGCTGTAATGCTGATGTTGGTCGGATTAGCCATTTTCATGGGATTTTTCATCAAATGTTGTGCTGTACATACACCAAGTAGCAATCCTAGGAAAGCTCCAGCTCTTCGTATTACCGATACATTAAGACATCCTGCTGACACACTTCGCAGAAAGGTAATTTTTCTTTTCTGTATAGAGTATTGTATTTATAAAACAGATAAGAGAAATAAATTACTATATAATTTAGTAATTTTCTCACCTTTAAGTTTGAACTTTTCCAAAATTTTTTGCTTAAATTTAAGGTCTAAATTCTCTAACTTTCAAAATGGAATAGTGTTTGTGATTTTTTAACACACATTATTTAATTGAAAAAATATTTTTGATCATCATTTTAATGATCATTTTTGGGTCACATACCCAAAATATATAAAGAGCAAAACATTAAAACATATAACCTTTTTTTGGAACATAATATTTTTGTGTTATATATGTGTGTTAATGGTATTAGATCTTCTCTGTTGTAATTTTCTACTTGTCTTGGATTGTTTTCTTACTTAGGTCACAAAGTTTTTAGTTGGGACATGGAATGATAAGTCAAACTTGTTGCAGGAAAGTTTGCAATAATACTCAAAACTTGCCTATTTCCCATCTTTTCTATCAATACTGCATGAGCATTTTCCCTGGTACTGAGACTCTTATTTATAGTGTTGCTGTGTACTATACACGTTGCACATCTTGGTAATGTTTATCATTAGTGTCACTGGAATCAAAATCTTGATTCATTTGTTGATTGTAATCATCCAATTTACTACCAGTTTTAGAAATGTTGAAAGCAGACAAAAATCTTCCTATGTGGCTTGCTTGGAAGCTGCCACATTGAAATGAGCATGGTGACACAGACTACCTTCTGATAAGAAAATGACAATTTATGTTGCTTGAGATTAGTAGAGCATTCTCTATTAATCTCAATGCACAAAATAAATAATAATAATTTTTATCTTTGATTTAATAAAATTTTGAAAATATGTAATAATGAAAACAATTTTTAATTCTAGCGACATCGTCCACCACCTCAACCAGGAATTCCGAGTGGACCTCCACCACCCTATCCGGGACCTCAACCTTCGGCACCTCCTGCAAGTAGCATACCCATTGCGGGACCTTCTCGTGGTTACGGCGAAGGTCGAGGTCACTACAATAGGAGGGACAGGCTCCAACATGGGGACAGATCAAATCCGTACGTAGACGACCCGTCCTATGCGCCCGCCTATCACGGTCGTGGTACCGCCATGGAAATGAGAGTCAAATCGCACGCCTGACCCCTGCACTTCACANCGCCTAAAAGCGCACAATAAAGCTCACGAAAAAGCACAAACGAAACAAGTTGGGGCACCCTGCCCATGCAAGCAAAACAGTACGCCATCTACAAAGCATTGGTCTACATCAACAATTTCAATCAGCTTGGCGGGAAGCAGGTCTGCATCTGCTCTGACAGCCAGGCCACTCTCTGGAGCATAAGCAAGAAAGCCCAGCGTAACCATCTCCACCATCTCATCACGGAAGAACTGAAGAAAAACAAAAGCAACCTGATTTACTTTTCGGGGACTCGTGCTCGTCAAGGTGTAATAGGAAATGAGAAAGCACATATGCTGGCTAACGAGACAGCCACTTCTCCTATTACACCAAGCTTCGATGACGTCCCAACGGTGGCTATCAAGTATCTTATTAGAGAAACGCTCATCCACATGTGGCAGAGAGAATGGAAAGAAGTGCACACCAATAGGACTACCTTTAAGTTACTGCCTAACATTCCCAACCGTCTCTCTCTCAACCACATATATAGCAACTATTTCACCATCCAACTCCTCACTGGCATTGGGAACTTTCGGCAGTACCTCAATAGATTCCACCACAGCGATCCCCTTTTCTGTCAGTGTGACAGTGACACTATAGTGGATCCCCTGCACTTCATCTTTGAATGCAACCTCTATGACACACAGAGAACTCTACTTATCCACAAATCCCTCATTGAATGATTCAACTTGCCCTGCACGCCCAATCTCCTCATCAACAACAGTGCCACTTACAACGGACTTTCCGAATTTATTCGGGAAACGGGCGCTTTCAATTCAGACTTCACCAACCGAAATCAGACAAGGGACTCTTGACAAGATAGGTGACTTCTACACCAGGGGCCTTGGTAAAACCGACGAAACATGCATCCTTTTGTATCTATCAGCACTTCAAACTCCGGTATTTGTAATTGTTCTATAACCACAAAGCTCTTCATTCATATGTAATGCGCCATAACTATGTGTACAACAGTACGCCATCTACAAAGCATTGGTCTACATCAACAATTCCAATCAGCTTCGCGGAAAGCAGGTCTGCATATGTGTACATACTATGCACTATATACATATTTCGTATACCTGTATACGAAATAAAATAAAAACTGTTTTCTGTTAATCTTTGTAATATTATCTGTAAAACCAGTATAATAAGTCCTGATAATAGAAGATACAAATTCATATCGAAAATTTTCATATTAATTGAGCCCTATGTAAACAGAGTATGGCACTCTAATGCGTGGATGCCATCTTGAGGCCAAAGTTGCAGTGTCATTGCACTGTTTAGCATTTAAATGAGCAATGTTTAATAATTTAAATGAGCAGAAATCAGATTCAGAAAGAAATTATATTAAGTTANGCGAAGGTCGAGGTCACTACAATAGGAGGGACAGGCTCCAACATGGGGACAGATCAAATCCGTACGTAGACGACCCGTCCTATGCGCCCGCCTATCACGGTCGTGGTACCGCCATGGAAATGAGAGTCAAATCGCACGCCTGACCCCTGCACTTCACATAGTGAATGTAGAATTGTCCAATTATGTAAAGACTGTTTTGGATGATATCCAAAATTAAAAAAAAAAGGAAAAGGAAAAAATTGGTAAATATATACATATTTACCAATCTTTAAAGGAGGAGACGGACAATGCCATTATGTGATTTAAAATTGGTACACAATAATCTGATTGTAATCAGTTCATATCTGCCATCCTGGAAGGAATTAATGGATTAGTGTCATCAAAAATCTGCAGTTCTGGTTCAAATTTCAGTGTCTTACAGCAAAGAAAAAAATGAATTTATGAATGTTATCTTTCAATACTGGTGCTATGGTTTCAACAAACATTAGTTTTTACAAAATATATTTCTCTCAGATTTGGAAAAAATATTCAATAATTTAGATTTTTCATAAAATAGTGTACAGTGTAAGAAAGGAAAACATAACTATGCCAAGAAAGTTAAATTAAACTTTAGCTTTCCTTCATGTTAACGACAGAACCCAATTATATATGTATATATATAATTTTGGCAATGAAACAAAGTTCCTTTCATTTTTCCTCATAGAATGTCATTAAGAACAAACCTACTTTTACTTGTTAAAAATGAAGAATCTATATGAAATTTTAAATAGTTTTCTTCCTGTTTTTAGTTAGTTTTTACACAAAGTACCTATTATTTTTGAAGAAAACTAGTCAGTCCTTTACATTTTAATACTTGGCTTTCTCAAGGAAAGGCCAAAAAGTGGGAACTGATTAACATTCCATCGGGTACTTTAACCATCGGTGGCCAGTGTTTCGCAGTCTTTTCCGTACACGAAATGAAACAATGGTATTATTTTATTCAGCTGTGATTATTTAGATGGCCACTCTAGAATTACACCTAGTCAATTATGGATATATAGTGTAAATCATAATAAAAAGAAAAGAAGAAAATCTGGCCTGGCGGCCAAATTTGTGATAATTTCAACCAATGTGTACCAATCCACCTCAAGTGACCTTCCATGCATTTTATTCACTATGTACATTATGTTTGAAAGGATGGTTGAATGAGCATAATTGTTATATCATCTCTTAATTATTGCTTAATTATTGCAAATGCTGTCTCATCGAACCATCATTTTTTGAGTTTTTCTCTTTATATGGAAGCGAGTTAAATTCGAGTCCTGTCCATCGTTGTTATCGTCTGAGTAAAGAACAGTAAATGTTTTTATCTGCAGCGTAGATATTCCGTGGGACGACAATGATCGCAAAATTATAAGTGTAAAATTTTTAATGTTGCATAGATCCCACCATAGCAGCAATAGGAAGTGAGAGTTTGCATGAAGTTCTTAGTCTTCTCTTCTTTTTTTTTAATAATAATATTTTTTTATAATTATTTTTCAGTCGGACGTAGACGACCCGTCCTATGCGCCCGCCTATCACGGTCGTGGTACCGCCATGGAAATGAGAGTCAAATCGCACGCCTGACCNTAGGAGAATAAAATCCCAAAAAAAAATAATAATAATGTAAATACATCGCTTCGGACATTGTGTTCACGTTTGCTGGTAAAGTATTGTATCCAATACTTAAATTCTGGTGTTTTGACGAGCCTAAAAGTTGTACAGAAACATTCGAACATATTTGTTATTAACTATATTTAAATCTTAAGGTTCACATTTAAAAAAAAAATGGAAATATTCTAACATTTCAATTTAATTTTGTGCATCCATTCAGCCTTCCTTTCACTGGAAAATCATCTACTTCATTGTAATCTGATGCAAACTCTATGGAGGGAGGGAGGCAGAGATATAAACTATGAAAATTTTTTTAGAACAATTGCCTGTTGGCTCAATATATTCTGTTTTATAATAAAGTAAAACCTCGTTTTTAACGAGCAAAAATTCAACTCCCTATGTATTATGTGAAAATTAACAACCTGTTAATTTTAAAATGCTTTTTATATATAATTAAATTAACTTCACGCCACAACAGCAATGTCTCGATACCGAAAACGAATAAATAGCAGTTATTTTTAATGTTTTTGTCAAATTTAAATTGAATTTCTTTTCAAGAACATTATTTATTTCTTTAATTAAATACAATTAAAGAGTATTTAAAAAAAAAATACACAATAAGAAACAAGGTTGCATGCTAATAACTTTATTTTCTTAAATGCCCCAATCTTATATCGTTTAATTTTATAATAATGAGGAAATCGATTTAAATTTAGATTAGGTATTTAATATTTTGTATTAATTAATTACCATTTGTTGATTATATTTGCTCTTATTATGCCATAAAGCAGAATGCGTTTCTGCATTCTCCTCAAGCATTTAGACTACTCAAAGTAAAGTTATAACTTCGTTAAGATCACCTAATGACTTTACAATATCGTTTAATAAATTTTCACATGTGTAATTGTCATCTTTAATCAAATTCGTAAGATATGTACCGGTGTTNTTTTAATTTTCTTATCTCTTCGTAGAGATCCTCCTTACTTTTCTGCACTCTTTTAACTCTATGTAACGCATTATGCGATTGAGATTTCAGTTCATTAATCTGTTTTGATTTTGGTGACAGTGGCTGGCTAACAAGATTACCGGAGTCCCGAAATACTGGACCAGATGTCTCGTTATCTTCATCTCCATTCGTGCCTTTACAGTCATCACCATTTTCTTCAAAAAGAAACAAAGTATGCAATAAGAAAAAATAGAATATTTAATAAGAATATTTTAAATTTATATTATAAATATACCTGTACTGGGCTGCATAGACGTCATAGGAGATAAATTTGTAGCATAACTGTGGTCCAAGGTCGGATCTATACGCTCACAATTATTTCTATGCCCTGTTTTTGGTCCAGAGCATCTTCTCTTAGATCTGTGAGAAAAAAGTGTAGGCACCGCATCATGCTTCGGCAATCTTCTTTGATCCTTCCTGTGATTCTCATACTAATCTTTCTCAAAATGAGCCTATGAGAGTTAATTGTAAATATTCACATCTCACTAAACCAATAAACTTATAAAGGCTAAAATGTAACAGACTTAATACACTTTAGCCTTAGTTTATTAATGTGCAATGTACAATTAAATAGGTAGTCAAAGCAGAAGTCCTTTCTCATAAAAATTCTGATTCTTACCTCACAAAGTAATGCATGTTTTCCAGGAATCTATAATTTCTCATTTTCATCCAGCCTATTTACTTTAATCGCCAATGTTTTTTTCTAGCTTCATCACTAGGAAATTGATGCAGTTTGAATTTAGGAGCTCTATTTGAGCAATTAATTACTGAATAACCCGGCATGATCTATTTTTATACGGTAGCTTTAAGAGCGATATAGATGTATCGGCAGATCTAAAGGCTAAAATAATGATTTCTAACCTCAGTATAGTAAAGTAAGAACTAACTCGATGTTTAGAATCTATTTTAGATCGAAATTATCTGGTATATAAAGTTTCCAATTCTGTTATTTATCGTAATAAATAGCTGATTGACATTCGCTTGTCATAAGCGGATCGGAAGCTGGCCTCATAATGGTGTTCATAAACCACGTGATCGGCAGTATCCAATCATATTTTGACCCCCCAGTTGACCATACTCTATTTATAGAGGGCTCTAGTAAATAATAGCTAGGGTATTATTTACTAGATATAGGGTATATAATAGGGTATGCCAAAACGCCCCTAGTGGCCGTTTTGGCATACCGTGACAGAAACCGGTTATCTACTGTAGATATTCACTTAATAACGATTTGATAAATTTCCTATTAATATTAATAGATGGCACTACGTGTACTTTAAGTATAAATATACCAAAAAATTCGCTGGTAGTCGGGTCAGCTTCGCTCCACCCTTATGCTTGCGTTGCAACGTGCAGTCTGGGCTCGCACCACTGGTAGCCTTTTCCACTCAAACGCTCCACCATCAGGCTTGTGTTGCAGCGTGCAGATTGAGTTCAAACCACCATTCGCCTTTTTCTTTGTTTTTTCTCTTAAACGCTCCTCCATCAGGCTTGCGTTGCAGCAATGCAGTCCTGGGTTCACGCCTCCAGTTGCCTTTTTTTTTCCTCTTTAAAGTATCATTTATCTCGGCAGTTACGTCCACACACAGATAACTTAGATAATATCGAACATCGCATTCCAAAATAACTATTGGGCTTTTCTTCTTCTTCTTCTTCTTCTATCAGTGTTTATATGGAGATTTTAGCTCTTTATAGGCTTTTTCTCCGATGAACCAACTCTCCTGTTCCCCTACTTAAATCATCTGGTTCGTGCTATGTATGCCTCTGGCTAGGTGACAGGGTGTTAGCTGTGTCGTCAGCGCATAGATCTCCCACAGTGTGCTATTCTTATTCAGTCTCACCCCCAGGGCTGTGCCCAGGTCTCCGCGAGCCACTGCATATTTCTGACATTCAAGCCAGTAATGCACTGTCGTTTCCCTCTCCGTACAGTGAGGGCATTGAGGCGTGTCGTGTAGCCGTTTGGAGTACAAAAAGGCATTCAAAGGGGCCGTTTCCATGCGCAAGCGCGCGAGGATCGTCTCCATGTACCTGTTCGACGCGTATTGATAGTGCTAGTTGGCAAACGGACAAAGATAGTCCCTTCCCTTTCTCCTCAAATCAGACGTCCAAAGATCCGTGAGCTGCCTAACTATCCTCTCCCTGACCGCCCTTGCCGCATCCCTGGGCAGTAACGTCCGCCAGATCGATCAGTCAGGTTCCCCGAGCCTCGCCATCCTATCTGCCCCTTCGTTAATTAATACCCCTGTATGTCCTGGGGTCCACCCTGCCACGCAGGCTTTCCTCCCTGTACCAAGACCCGCTGCCAGGTCAATAATCAAGCCCGGGGATGAAAACCCCACATTCTCCACAGCAGTGAGAACCGACAAGCTATCCGAAAAAACAGCGCACCTCTCTTGATAACTATTGGGTTTCTGTAAATCAATTGATTTATATCCTCATCCGTAGTGCCATCTATTGGCAGGAAATTTAACGAACCGATAAAAATAAATATAATTTTTATAAAAAGAATATAACTTTAAAATATATATATTATATTCACTTAATAACGTTTTGTTAAATCATTTTATTAAATTTAAAACATAACTCCGATATTTAAACAAAATATAAATTTTTATTTTGATTGTAAAATTAATGCAGGTAGCGCATGGTGACTTTTCTTCATAATTAAAGGTGAGGGACACAAAAAGCTTTTTTCGTCTTTCCTCGGCATCTTCTGTCTTCACCCAAGTGGGCCTTGGGAAAGATAGAAAACATACATTATAGATAAAATTGACATAACGCCCTCACACTCAAGGGAAGAGACTAAGAGAAAGATTGAACGAAATCTCAAAATTATTAAAAACGTGTGTGAGATCGCTATACCGAAATACGGAGCCATGAATAAACCGGTCCCCTGGTGGAACGATACTTTGTCTGAACTGAAACTCAAAAATAACGCCTTCAGAAAAAGTATCAAAAAACTAAAGAGGACATACAAAGGTCGATCAACAAGCAACAATACTTACAACTACAAAAATAATACAAAAACCACATAAGAGATTCTAAATTAAAATTCTGGAAAGAATACTGCACTACAGGTAGCAAAGACTCTTGGGGTTTCTTACCAAGTGGAGCTATAACATATTAAGAAAAACGGAGGCCGTGACCACCGCGGAAACTACAGAAGGACATGCATATGCTCTGCAAACTAGTATCAAAGTTATATTTCAAAAAATATGTGTAAAAGACAATGAAAACGAAAATCTCGGCATTCTTAGTGAAATCAGAGACATGATAAACGTATATATTAACACCCCTGACACACCCGCTTTCACAGGCAAAGAAGTTTGCAAAGTAATCACTAATCCGAAGAACAGAACCGAATAACCCCCGGGCTCGACAGAATTACCCCAGAAATCATCAAACAAATTTCGAATATAAATCCAACACTGCTTTTTTACCTCTTCAATATTTTCCTACATTTCAGGTTCTTCCCCAGGAAATGGAAGAGAGCCAAGTTGGTACTTGTCTTAAAGTAAATAAACCTGGAAATTACAGATCGATTTTCCTATTACCTGCACTAGGGAAAGTTATGGAAAAACTGCTTACAGACAGACTCCCTTGGCACCTAGAGTCAAATAACTTACTGAGTGATGATCAGTGTGGTTTTAGAACGCAAAGGTCAACCACAACTTCCATAATAAAACAACT